GTAGCCCTTCATCCCAGCATGCTACAGGCCTAATATCAGTACCCTGGGCCTTTCGGTTATTGAGAAGAAGTTGTTTGAAGATTTTAACATATTTGACCCCTGTGACCTTGAAAGTGGGTCAAGATCATTTATTTGAACAAACTTTGTAGCCCTTTATCCCAGCATGCTACAGGCCTAATATCAGTACCCTGGGCCTTTTGGTTATTGAGAAGAAGTTGTTTAAAGTAAAAAGTTGACGCCGGACAGACGGACGGACGGACGGACGACGGACAGGTGAGGTAATAATGTAAAGCTCAGGTGACCTAAAAATATGGAAGATTTACCTCAATTTCCCCTAATGGGCCCAAACCCCTCTGCCCCCATTTGGGCTACACCCTCCGTTTATACAAACTTGAATCCCCTTTGGCTGAGGATATTTCAGGACAAATTAAGTTAAAATCCACTAAACTGTTCAGTACGAGTAGCGTTTTAAAGGAAAAGTTGACGAACGTCCGGACGCCGGACGCCCTACTATGGCATCAGCTCACTTGCCCTTAAACCAGGTGAGCTAGCAAAAACAAGAACTTGACCACATACCAGCTGTCGGTCCATGTCCGAGTCCTTGGGGGAGCTGACAAACAGTGTACGCTGCATGAGCCCTGTGAAGCACCAGAAAGCATCAGCTTCATTTTGAATCTCTGCGAGGACAGGCGCCAGCAGGTCCGACATCCCCTGTGTGTAACCCATGTGGGGGTTAGCCAGGGCATAGTTCAGCAATATATTCCTGGGAAACAAATTCATAAACTACTACAAAATGGTGGATTTGAATTTAATTATTCAGTAAGAAGACGCCCGATTGGCCAGTTTCACTCACATGTTATTAATCTCACATCCGTGATCGTTTATTGGGATAAGGCCATCTAAATATACTAAATACCCTTACATATTATGTATACTAAATACCTTACATATTTTGTATACTACATATTATGTATACTAAATACACTTACATATTATGTATACAAAATATCCTTATATATTATGTATACTAATTACACTTACATATTATGTATACAAGATACCCTACATATTATGTATACTAAATACCTTACATATTATGTATACTAAATTCCCTTACATATTATGTATACTACATATTATGTATACTAAATACCCTACATATTATATATACTAAATACCCTTACATATTATGTATACTAAATACCCTACATATTATGTATACTAAATACCCTTACATATTATGTATGCTAAATACTCTTACATATTATGTATACTCAATACCCTTACATATTATGTATACAAAATACCATTACATATTATGTACACTAAATACCTTACATATTATGTACACTAAATACCTTACATATTTTGTATACTACATATTATGTATACTAAATACCCTTACATATTATGTATACTAAATACCTTACATATTATGTATACTAAATTCCCTTACATATTATGTATACTACATATTATGTATACTAAATACCCTACATATTATATATACTAAATACCCTTACATATTATGTATACTAAATACCCTTATATATTTTGTATACTAAATACCCTACATATTATGGATCTTTGTTGGAACATTTGTTTACTCTGCACCTTACGCTTCTTTTTACAAAACTAATACAAAGGAAGAACTAACTAATACAAAGGAAGAACTAACTTATACAAAAGAAGGACTAACTTATACAAAGGAAGAACTAACTTATACAAAGGAAGAACTAACTTATACAAAGGAAGAACTAACTTATACAAAGGAAGAACTAACTTATACAAAGGAAGAACTAACTTATACAAAGGAAGAACTAACTTATACAAAGGAAGAACTAACTTATACAAAGGAAGAACTAACTTATACAAAGGAAGAACTAACTTATACAAAGGAAGAACTAACTTATACAAAGGAAGAACTAACTTATACAAAGGAAGAACTAACTTATACAAAGGAAGAACTAACTTATACAAAGGAAGAACTAACTTATACAAAGGAAGAACTAACTTATACAAAGGAAGAACTAACTTATACAAAGGAAGAACTAACTTATACAAAGGAAGAACTAACTTATACAAAGGAAGAACTAACTTATACAAAGGAAGAACTAACTTATACAAAGGAAGAACTAACTTATACAAAGGAAGAACTAACTTATACAAAGGAAGAACTAACTTATACAAAGGAAGAACTAACTTATACAAAGGAAGAACTAACTTATACAAAGGAAGAACTAACTTATACAAAGGAAGAACTAACTTATACAAAGGAAGAACTAACTTATACAAAGGAAGAACTAACTTATACAAAGGAAGAACTAACTTATACAAAGGAAGAACTAACTTATACAAAGGAAGAACTAACTTATACAAAGGAAGAACTAACTTATACAAAGGAAGAACTAACTTATACAAAGGAAGAACTAACTTATACAAAGGAAGAACTAACTTATACAAAGGAAGAACTAACTTATACAAAGGAAGAACTAACTTATACAAAGGAAGAACTAACTTATACAAAGGAAGAACTAACTTATACAAAGGAAGAACTAACTTATACAAAGGAAGAACTAACTTATACAAAGGAAGAACTAACTTATACAAAGGAAGAACTAACTTATACAAAGGAAGAACTAACTTATACAAAGGAAGAACTAACTTATACAAAGGAAGAACTAACTTATACAAAGGAAGAACTAACTTATACAAAGGAAGAACTAACTTATACAAAGGAAGAACTAACTTATACAAAGGAAGAACTAACTTATACAAAGGAAGAACTAACTTATACAAAGGAAGAACTAACTTATACAAAGGAAGAACTAACTTATACAAAGGAAGAACTAACTTATACAAAGGAAGAACTAACTTATACAAAGGAAGAACTAACTTATACAAAGGAAGAACTAACTTATACAAAGGAAGAACTAACTTATACAAAGGAAGAACTAACTTATACAAAGGAAGAACTAACTTATACAAAGGAAGAACTAACTTATACAAAGGAAGAACTAACTTATACAAAGGAAGAACTAACTTATACAAAGGAAGAACTAACTTATACAAAGGAAGAACTAACTTATACAAAGGAAGAACTAACTTATACAAAGGAAGGACTAACTTATACAAAGGAAGAACTAACTTATACAAAGGAAGAACTAACTTATACAAAGGAAGAACCAACTTATACAAAGGAAGGACTAACTTATACAAAGGAAGGAATAACTAATACAAAGGAAGAACTAACTTATACAAAGGAAGGAATAACTTATACAAAGGAAGAACTAACTTATACAAAGGAAGAACTAACTTATACAAAAGAAATCTAGATATGAAGTTTGAGAAACATCAATTGAGTACTTTTTAAGACAGGATCTCAAAATCCTAGATGGCTGTCTAGTGGCCATCTTGCTTTTTCAGTCGGTTTAAAAATAAAATATTCATGACTATATACCAAGAGGAAACTACACATGACACATGAGAAAGATTTGTCAAGTACTTCTTGAAAAACAGCGATACCAAGGATCTTAGTGAATTGAACACAGCTGACTACTAATGTCACCAGCTGACAATCTGCTGACAATCTGCTGGTGACCAGCCACAAACTGAAGTGTAAGCATTGAACACAGCTGACTACTAATGTCACCAGCTGACAACCTGCTGACAATCTGCTGACCAGCTGACAATCTGCTGGTGACCAGCCACAAACTGAAGTGTAAGCATTGAACACAGCTGACTTCTAATGTCACCAGCTGACAATCTGCTGGTGACCAGCCTCAAACTGAGGTGTAAGCATTGAACACAGCTGACTACTAATGTCACCAACTGACAATCTGCTGACAATCTGCTGGTGACCAGCCACAAACTGAGGTGTAAGCATTGGTTCATATTTAGAAGTCAGAAACACAAATTGTACTTACTTAAGCACTTCAATGTTTGGATTGTCCTCCCCACGGAAATACGGATGTGTTCGGTCAGTTCGGACCACATCTTTCTCTACAATTGATTGGATCTTGCGCCAAAACTGTTCTTGTTCCTCTTCTGTCATCTTTTCCCTAGGAACGAGTAAACAGGAGGCCCATTAACTGTTGAATGAGCTTTTTTGATCTTCAAATGCATCATTGAAATAATTATTCATGCATAAAACATAGCCATGATGTCACAGGTGTCCAATAAACTGCATGAACTGTCCAATAAGTTTGACCAACTGTCCAATAAGTTTGACCAACTGTCCAATATGTTTGACCAACTGTCAAATAAGTTTGACCAATTGTAAAATATGTTTGACCAGCTGTCCAATAAGTTTGACCTACTGTCCAATAAGTTTGACCAGCTGTCCAATAAGTTTGACCAACTGTCTTATAGCCGAAACCATAGGAAAGGTAGGTGCAATTGTTCTTGACCCTGAAGTAGCTGTCCCCTGTATAGTCCCTTAAACAAAGATGATTGGTACATTGACCCTGAAGTAGCTGTCCCCTGTATAGTCCCTTAAACAAAGATGATTGGTACATTGACCCTGAAGTAGCTGTCCCCTGTATAGTCCCTTAAACAAAGATGATTGGTACATTGACCCTGAAGTAGCTGTCCCCTGTATAGTCCCTTAAACAAAGATGATTGGTACATTGACCCTGAAGTAGCTGTCCCCTGTATAGTCCCTTAAACAAAGATGATTGGTACATTGACCCTGAAGTAGCTGTCCCCTGTATAGTCCCTTAAACAAAGATGATTGGTACATTGACCCTGAAGTAGCTGTCCCCTGTATAGTCCCTTAAACAAAGATGATTGGTACATTGACCCTGAAGTAGCTGTCCCCTGTATAGTCCCTTAAACAAAGATGATTGGTACATTGACCCTGAAGTAGCTGTCCCCTGTATAGTCCCTTAAACAAAGATGATTGGTACATTGACCCTGAAGTAGCTGTCCCCTGTATAGTCCCTTAAACAAAGATGATTGGTACATTGACCCTGAAGTAGCTGTCCCCTGTATAGTCCCTTAAACAAAGATGATTGGTACATTGACCCTGAAGTAGCTGTCCCCTGTATAGTCCCTTAAACAAAGATGATTGGTACATTGACCCTGAAGTAGCTGTCCCCTGTATAGTCCCTTAAACAAAGATGATTGGTACATTGACCCTGAAGTAGCTGTCCCCTGTATAGTCCCTTAAACAAAGATGATTGGTACATTGACCCTGAAGTAGCTGTCCCCTGTATAGTCCCTTAAACAAAGATGATTGGTACATTGACCCTGAAGTAGCTGTCCCCTGTATAGTCCCTTAAACAAAGATGATTGGTACATTGACCCTGAAGTAGCTGTCCCCTGTATAGTCCCTTAAACAAAGATGATTGGTACATTGACCCTGAAGTAGCTGTCCCCTGTATAGTCCCTTAAACAAAGATGATTGGTACATTGACCCTGAAGTAGCTGTCCCCTGTATAGTCCCTTAAACAAAGATGATTGGTACATTGACCCTGAAGTAGCTGTCCCCTGTATAGTCCCTTAAACAAAGATGATTGGTACATTGACCCTGAAGTAGCTGTCCCCTGTATAGTCCCTTAAACAAAGATGATTGGTACATTGACCCTGAAGTAGCTGTCCCCTGTATAGTCCCTTAAACAAAGATGATTGGTACATTGACCCTGAAGTAGCTGTCCCCTGTATAGTCCCTTAAACAAAGATGATTGGTACATTGACCCTGAAGTAGCTGTCCCCTGTATAGTCCCTTAAACAAAGATGATTGGTACATTGACCCTGAAGTAGCTGTCCCCTGTATAGTCCCTTAAACAAAGATGATTGGTACATTGACCCTGAAGTAGCTGTCCCCTGTATAGTCCCTTAAACAAAGATGATTGGTACATTGACCCTGAAGTAGCTGTCCCCTGTATAGTCCCTTAAACAAAGATGATTGGTACATTGACCCTGAAGTAGCTGTCCCCTGTATAGTCCCTTAAACAAAGATGATTGGTACATTGACCCTGAAGTAGCTGTCCCCTGTATAGTCCCTTAAACAAAGATGATTGGTACATTGACCCTGAAGTAGCTGTCCCCTGTATAGTCCCTTAAACAAAGATGATTGGTACATTGACCCTGAAGTAGCTGTCCCCTGTATAGTCCCTTAAACAAAGATGATTGGTACATTGACCCTGAAGTAGCTGTCCCCTGTATAGTCCCTTAAACAAAGATGATTGGTACATTGACCCTGAAGTAGCTGTCCCCTGTATAGTCCCTTAAACAAAGATGATTGGTACATTGACCCTGAAGTAGCTGTCCCCTGTATAGTCCCTTAAACAAAGATGATTGGTACATTGACCCTGAAGTAGCTGTCCCCTGTATAGTCCCTTAAACAAAGATGATTGGTACATTGACCCTGAAGTAGCTGTCCCCTGTATAGTCCCTTAAACAAAGATGATTGGTACATTGACCCTGAAGTAGCTGTCCCCTGTATAGTCCCTTAAACAAAGATGATTGGTACATTGACCCTGAAGTAGCTGTCCCCTGTATAGTCCCTTAAACAAAGATGATTGGTACATTGACCCTGAAGTAGCTGTCCCCTGTATAGTCCCTTAAACAAAGATGATTGGTACATTGACCCTGAAGTAGCTGTCCCCTGTATAGTCCCTTAAACAAAGATGATTGGTACATTGACCCTGAAGTAGCTGTCCCCTGTATAGTCCCTTAAACAAAGATGATTGGTACATTGACCCTGAAGTAGCTGTCCCCTGTATAGTCCCTTAAACAAAGATGATTGGTACATTGACCCTGAAGTAGCTGTCCCCTGTATAGTCCCTTAAACAAAGATGATTGGTACATTGACCCTGAAGTAGCTGTCCCCTGTATAGTCCCTTAAACAAAGATGATTGGTACATTGACCCTGAAGTAGCTGTCCCCTGTATAGTCCCTTAAACAAAGATGATTGGTACATTGACCCTGAAGTAGCTGTCCCCTGTATAGTCCCTTAAACAAAGATGATTGGTACATTGACCCTGAAGTAGCTGTCCCCTGTATAGTCCCTTAAACAAAGATGATTGGTACATTGACCCTGAAGTAGCTGTCCCCTGTATAGTCCCTTAAACAAAGATGTTTGGTACATTGACCTTGAAGTAGCTGTCCCCTGTATAGTCCCTTAAACAAAGATGTTTGGTACATTGACCCTGTAGTAGCTGTCCCCTGTATAGTCCCTTAAACAAAGATGATTGGTACATTGACCTTGAAGTAGCTGTCCCCTGTATAGTCACTTAAACAAAGATGTTTGGTACATTGACCCTGAAGTAGCTGTCCCCTGTATAGTCCCTTAAACAAAGATGTTTTGCTCACCTGATCTTTCTGATGTTTTGATACTCGATGTAGCGGTCATTGCGGATGTGTTCACGTTCTTCATGAGACGAACAATATGGATAATAATGCAAAAGAAAAGGCCATGTTTCGTGTCTTAGGGGTGGCTCCAAACCACCAAAGAAAACACTCTGTAACAATCAAAATACGTACATATTACTGATTATTGGAAATACCATGTATTAATGTAAACTGTCAAAATACGTACAGATTACTGAGTAATGTAAATACCATGTAACAAAGTTACAATCAAAATGCGTACAGATTTATACATAACTTTACACAATGAAAGAGTTAACCTGTTTATTACTTGAGTTAAGACACAGATATGAATGTGCAAGCAAAGAACAAGTACTAAAACTTACTGCAAACATTTGGCGTATCAGGGGCTCCTCACTCTATAACAAACCTACTAATAGTAACAAAATATTCTCAAAAGATTTTAACGGAAGCTAGACTCTGCGAAGTCACAGAGAAGCTTGATAAAGAGCGCGAGCTAGACTCCAAAGAAAACAAGAGAAGCAGCTAGACTCTGAAAGACTCCAGAGAAGCGACCAGACTCCTAATATCCATGGAGAAGCTATAAAAGACTATGAATTGGAAACGCTAGACTCCGAAGAAGGCAAGAGAAGTCACTAGACTCTGGAGGCATCCAGAGAAGCGACTAGACTCATAGCCACCCCAGAGAATGTATCTGTTAAATTTACCATGAGAAAACTGGCTACAGATAAAGTGAAGTAATAATATATTTAAGAGATTGGGGGTACAATTCCCCAAGAATTTAAAGCCAAAATGGAACGATTATGTTAGTGCGACATAAGAGTGAGAGCCCCCAATAATGTAGAGAAATTATTTATAACATTGGAGGTAAAATGATAACTATAGTAACTAGTCAGAGCTGTACAAATTGTAGCAGGATCTGTTCGGATATATCGAATAAAGCAGTCAGATGACCATCTACCCAAGGTCTGAATAACATGATCCTGGACACCTGCGGCAGCCGCTGAGGTAGCCGCACCAATACGAAAGGAATGTCCATTAAATTCATGGCTGTTGATACCTATACGAGTCAGAGTTATTTGAGGTATGATATGAAAGTCTGACGCATCAGTGGTTTGGGAAAATACACATTTTCAACAAACAAAGGTGAAGTCAGAATAGCTCCTTGAGCCTTCCTTGCTGCTAAATAGCGAATCATGGTGAGCACAGGATTCAAAACATTGTTTTCAAACACTTTAATGTTCACTCCTTACCATAGGGGTCCATTTTTGATGAACGCCGAAAAANTACAAATGTAAGTAGTATCGCGCAAGGTTTGGCATGTGAACTCCCCACAGCGCAAAAAGCCATAAAATGCTGTCTTAAAAACACAACACAGCATAAGGTCTATGAAAGGTGCAAACATACCATGATTACTGGAAATTTTATCACACATGAGTTTAAGTATCCTAAATGTAATAGAAAGTCGTTTTGTTGAAAGGTTCACTTGGTTTTTCTTAATAGCACGCAAAATGTAGGTTAGCCGAAGTGTGTTGGCAATGGGATCACCGAAGTTATTTCGAATGTAATAAAAACGGATACCAGACAGGTAAAGCTTAATAGTGTCATATTTTAAATGCAAGTTTTGTTGACAATAAGTCATGAATAGGATCAGAAGTTCTTCATTAACTGGAGGAAGAGACTCTGCTGGGTAGCTGATGCCCCGCATAAGAATGAATGTCAAGAAACAATTCAATCCTGATTTGTAAGTAGATAGTGTCCTCTCACTAAGGGCGGTATCCCACAGCCTTGCAACGTTGTTATTCAGTTCATCGTCAAAGATGACATGGGTAGACAGGGTATACTGGCCACTGGTCGGCATGGGGTGCTAATGTCCTGAATCGGCTCATCTGGAAACGAGATATAGCATCAGCAATGTTATTTTGCTTACCAGGGATATGTACTGCATGGACTACAAAGTTATGCACAGCAGAATGGTATGTGAGTTTACGCATAAGTCTCATAATACTCTGCACTTTAGATCTCCCTTTTGAAATGATTTCTACTGTAGCAACATTGTCACAATGAAACAAAATTCTTCGTTTGTGCCAATTACATCCCCACAAAACACAAGCCATAACAATGGGGTATAGTTCGTAAAGGGCCATGGAGGGGTCTGTTGTCTTCAGTTCCGGAGGGAAGGTACCTTGAAACCATTTCTGTAGGTAGATGCCTCCGAACGCTTCTAAAGTAGCATCGGTATACAAATGGATGTCCGCGGCTGCTGTGACATGGTCATAGAGGAAGAAGGAGACTCCATTCCAATTCGTTAGAAATAAAGACCACATGCGTAAATCTGCTTGACACTCTTGGGTTATCTTGACATGATAATGTAATTCACGCACTTTCGTAGAAAGTGAAATCAATTGTGAAACGAATGCACGTCCAGGTTTTATGCAACGACAAGCGAAGTTCATGTGGCCCAGAAGACTAAGAAGTTCGCGTTTGGTGCACGACTTCTTCCTCTGAAATGAATCGATGAATTCAATGATTCTGGAGATTTTGTCTAATGGAAGACGGGATTCATTAAGATGAGAATCCAAAAACACCCCCAAGTACTCCAACATGGTGCAAGGTCCCACAGTTTTGTGCTCCCACAGGAATGCAAAGATTCTTGAAAACTGCCATGAAACGTTCCATGGTTTTTGAAGCATCCACATAAACTGGTTCAATAACTATAGAATCATCCAATAAATGTAGAATGTTATTAATGTTATAGTTGTTTTTAGCTATCCAGCACACGGCCTGCGAAAGGTTATCAAACAGTTTAGGGCTAGAACGACTCCCAAACACAAGTCTAGTAAAGAAATAATAGCTGTTTCTCCATTTTATTCCATGATAAGGCCAGAGTTCTGGTTTGATTGGAAGTAGCTTGAAGGCTTCAGTGATGTCGGTTTTCATCAACCATGCATTTTTCCCTGCACTTTTTATGAGGCGAATAGCATCATCCACAGTGGAATATTTGAGTGAACAAGTAACTTTGTCAATTAGACTGTTGAGACTTGGATTTTGGTTGTCCTTGTGTGGAGCTGACATGTCAACGATGAGACGTTTTTTCTTTGAGTACTTATGTTCAGCTAACCCGATAGGATTGATACGGTATGCCGGAAATGGAATGCTATCGAAAGGGCCTAACAAATAACCTTTTTCTACCTCCTGAGACACTAATTTCTTTACACTTTCAGGATCACTGTTTGTCTCAATGTCTCTCTCGTAAAGATACAACTCGACACGTCTGTGTGGATGGACTGAGCACATCACCTGCTTGTATACGCCGAAAGCTAAAATAAACTCGCTCAAGGTCAAGGTCTTGTTAAGCCGGGGATCATTTTCTCAGCAGAGTTACCACTTGGCTCACATTGACCATTGTAGTACGGAATGAGAAGGGCCGCAAGGTTGACGTCTCTACCGGTCACTATCTGTTGTCTAAGTGTTGGGGAAATTGTTTCAACCAAAGGCAGTGACTCTGCTGCGTAGCCAAATCTTAAACGTGTATTGCAACTCTCACCTGCCGTCAAAGTAGAGTCGGCTTGGAACCTTCTGAAAGCGGCAGCTGGAACGTTGCGTTGCACGGCAGGTATGGGACCTTCCAATCTGTGTTAAAGTCTAATATAACACTCCTGTAGTGTGGAAACACTTTCTGCCAGGCTGGTAACCAGGTTGGTTAGGTTCTGTACGGAAACTGAATTGCCGCCATCTTGCACTGGGGCATCATGGGATCGCGCACCTCCTGATGAAACATGGGATCGCGCAACTCCAGCACTCTCCAACCCAGCTTGTGCGTCCCTTACTTTTTTCACAAGCGCCATGCGTCTAGTCCCTCCTTGAAACGATACATTTAACTGCCGCAGTTCTTGTTGTAGTCTAGCAAATGTCCAATTTTCTAAGATTTCAGGATCGTACGGTGCCGTCCTGATAGCCTGGCGTCCTCGTTTTGGGGCCATGATATAAATACACTCAATAATACGAAACCATAACACACACACGCTACGGTTGAGTGGACAGTTCCAACACGGAAATACGTCAGTAGTTATATGCGTAGAGTTGAACGGAGGTACAGTTTAAGAGTCGCAAATGAATACTACGCACCTACATACGCAAACAGTTCCTTCCGTGAATATCACGGTATCGAGAGATCGTGCAACAGTCGTAATTCAAAATGGCGAAAGTTCTGTGAAGAGTAGACAACGTAGATAGTCCCAGAAAAGTTCCAAAACTCACATATTTCGGTCACAATATCCACCGTGTAACTTCACATATAGGTATAAAGTCGAGGATAAGCTTATAACTGGGACTGATGAAGTAAAATGTAAGCCAAAAACAAACAAGTGTAATCTGCCAGCACTACGAGGAATGAAACTGAAGCTGGCAATACCAACACCCCTCTAAGACGTAATTGCTGATTGGTCAAAAGTTACTATGGACTAATTAACATATACTACGATACCTTATATGGTAAGACATCTAATTTGCATAGGTAAACACTATCGCTCTTCACAGAAGAACACATTCCATAATGCGGTAAAAGAAGGTATTACAAAAATGAACATAAGGGAAAACCCTTATATCTTAACACTTGATATTGCAAACATAACAACAAAACTATCACATCTACAACTACAGCAGCCAAGGCAATGCAAGGCTTACACAGTTATATATAAACTATAATTTATCATTACATGCTGTATTATTCTTTGATGGAAATACCATGTATCAATGTAAACTGTCAAAAACTACATATTACTGATTAATGGAAATACCATGTAACAATGTTACAATCAAAATATGTACAGATTACTATTTAATGGAAATACCATGTAACAGTGTTACAATCAAAATATGTACAGATTACTGATTAATGGAAATACCATGTATCAATGTAAACTGTCAAAAAGAGGCCCAGAGGACCGGTATCGCTCACCTGATATGTTTAAAATAATTGGTATGAAGTAGGTGCTGTAAGTACATATGAAATTTCAGAAAGATCCATCCAGTACTTGAGTTATAGCGAGAACAAACTTCAAACAGAGCCCCACCCCTATGCAACCTAGGGGGGGGGGGGGGGTCATACCCACCAATTATACAAAATTGAGTCCCCTTTTGCCTAAGGATGCTCCAGACTAAATTAGAATAATATCCCTTAATCGCTATGGTAGAAGGACTATAAAGGTTTTACCTATATTTCCTCTATTGGGCCCCGCCCCTCAGGTCCCACCAACCGTTTATACAAAATTGGTTCTCCTTTACCCAAGGATGCTCCACACCAAATATGGACCAAATCCTTTCATTCCTACAGACGAAGAATTTTAAAGAATAACTTGCTATGTTTCCCCTATTGGGCCCTGCCTCCCAGGCCCCTGGGGGGCCAGATCCACGGGTTATACAAAATTGGTTTCCCTTTACCCAAAAATGCTTCAGACCAATTATGAACCAAATCCTTTTATTCTTACAGACGAAGAAGGATTTTAAAGAATAATTGGCTATGTTTCCCCTCTTTGGCCCCACCCCTAAGGCCCCTGGGGGGGCCACACCCATGGTTTATACAAAATTGGTTCCCCTTCACCCAAGAATGCTTCAGACCAAATATGGACCAAATCCTTTCATTCCAACAGAAGAAGAAGGATTTTAAAGAATTTGCTTTATTTCCCCTATTGGACCCCATCCCTCAGCCCCCAGGGGGGCCAGACCCACCATTTATACAAAATTTGCTCACATACCCCAAAGGATGCTTCTGACCAAATTTGGTCAAACTCTGCTTAGTCGTTCATGACTAGTAGCGTTTTAAAGGAAAAGTTGACGGACGGACTGACGACGGACGACGGACGACAGACGCTGCGGTATGGCATAAACTCACCATGGTCTTTCGGACCAGGTGAGCTAAAAACTACAGATTACTGATTAATGGAAATACCATGTATCAATGTTAACAGTCAACCAGTATAGATATCTCAGACAAAGGTAACAGGTGGAGATAACTGTGAC